ATTCATGAGCTTGCGTTTACACGGTATTCTCCATAGAGAATTCGAACGTTTTTTCACTGTTTCGTTCAGACTGCAGTTTTTATTCAATCCTGCATGACAATGACAATTTTGTTGTTTTTATTGTGTGTAAAAACGCATATTTTATTAGATATATAAATATATTTATTCAAACCGTTATTGAGTTTATTTTATTGTATGATATCGTAGGTAGTAACTGCCTGTAGTGTGGTGTGTAAATACTTTCTGGCGGGTCTGTATATGATAGGCCATTGACGTATAAATATTTGCTGTGACATAAAAACTAGTTTTATTATTCATTGATGTAACAGAAAATCATACATTGATAAAGTGATCTTAATAAACATTTTACTATAGTTATGTAATTTGTAATTTGAAAAAACAAAGTTCACATTTCATAAGCAAAATAAATGAAAAGACAAAAAAAAAAAAAAAAAAAAATCAGAGGCTACAACATTTTAGTTTATGCCTCAGGTCATCAATGCAGTCACATACAATTTAATTTTTTTCTCTCGATACAGATTTTTCTCGCCGTCAAAAGCTGACTCAATTTGATTTTGTGTGGACTACATTTTGACTCAGGATTCCTACAAAATCAGAGGATAATTAAAATTGTGTGTAATTTTATACTCACGTTGATAGTCCTTCCACATATGGTCCCAGGACTGGATGCTCTCGGACTCTTAGCTGTGAATAGTGGTAAATTAAAATATTTGATCATTACAGGAATCACATTTGTGTCAACTCCCCAGACAAATAAATATATGCATATTTTTTTGTAAAGTAATTCTGAGCAGGAAATCTTTGAGAACATGCATTGAAACACTATTCAAAAGCATTTATTTAACAAATGAAATTGAACAAACAATCAAACAGAAAGCCAGTTTCACCATTCAGACATACTTAAAATCTTTAAAAACTAAACAACATCCAAACCATCAAATATTTTACACAACAGTTTGCAAGTCCCTCCTTGAGCTTTAAGAATATCATGCATTCTGCCTACACAGCATCCCTTGTATGTTTGAGCAAAAACGATTTGTGATTTTGTACAGAAAGTGAGTACACAAAACAAGTTACTTTTTCAACCAGCACTACTAACACAGAATTGTAAATTTTCACTTTATGATTAATTCTAAAACTTACAGTAACTTTCTTTTTTCCCTTGTCTTTTGATGAGGCCAACAGGTCATGTATTTTTTCGTTGTAAATTTCAAAGTAGCTTATTTCAGTGTTAAAAATAACCTACAGGAATAAAACATTATTTCAAGAAGGGAAATTCATTAATTCAGACTTGGGTACTCTGGGGAGTGGATGGGGAAGTCCTGGGATTCTTCCAGCAGGGACTTACAAAGGTAAATTTTCAAATGGTGAACAGCTTTGATGAACATTCTACAATTCAGACTATACTTTCGGGCAAACTGTATAATGTTGGAAGTATGTAGAGTAAAATTAGCATTCGCCCCTGCAAAAGTAGCGTTTAGTTTTGTGTTTATGACATGTGGACGAAAAATATACGACTGTAAAACACCTTAAAATACACTTAGTTACACATCAATATAGCAAATGTGGTTAAATGTTTAAATTGGCAGAATTTCAATTTAGCAAAAGTGTCAACATATTGATTGTGAGATACGTACATCGTACATCTTGAAATTTACAGGGTGGTAAAATTAACCAAAGCAGCTAAAAAGACGCGTTTATCTTATCACTGTCTTTGATGATGAGTCATCAACCTCTGAGGATACTATGGAAATTGCGAAAACTGATCTAATAAATGAATAATTCTTTTGAATATTGCAATGAATTATGGGTACTCACATCTTCTTCTAATGGGTTATCTATCCGACAAAACAACTCTTCACTGAAACGTGGCACAATACCTGCATTATCTTGCTCTCCCATAATACTGTAAATAAAATAAAATAAAACTTAATGATACATATAGAAAGTACACTAATTAATACATTTCCTCTATCAGTGGTGCACATTACCAGCTTGTTCACAGTAGTGGCAAACCCAACTGTAAATTCTGAAAGTAGTCCGGTAACATAACATATCACATACATGTCCTAATATGGAATTTAGGAAATCCGTATCACCACAGTGCAACGTCACACACGTGTCTATGTGTACGATAAATACTTGTATAACGTTGACCATCTTTATGAAATAGTGAATTCCAGACAGAACGCCTGCCTATCAAAACTGCGTTGTCAAGTTCACCAAAGCACATGCCAGTGTTTCGCAAAGTTACAAGCCATCATGCTAACTGACTGAACAAATAATTCTCTGAACTGCTGTAAAAATACTGTAAATTATTTTGTAATGTGTCTGGGTCAATAAAATTTAAAACATGGTGGATGTATGTGATATGACATGCATGTAAACAGTGCTTTGAGCGGGTCTCCGAAAGTTGACTGATAATGATCTTGCGGCAGTTAAAATGGTGACTATGACTATAACTGAGAGGTTACCAACTTTAATTAGGTATGATTGAAAGTGTCTCCCAGGTGGAAACTCGTACTCATGAATTCATTGGAAAAGTGCATTGGATTGTGGGAAAATCAATGTTTATTAACACAAAATGTCGCACATATTTTGTACAATAGTCGCACAATGGCCACTGCCCTTTAACCAACAATTATTTGACTCAATAAAAGTACTGAATTGAAGGGATATCAAACAATGTAGATTTAACTCCCTAAATCACATACCTGTATGATTTGCCATACCCGGTTTGCCCATATCACATACCTGTATGATTTGCCATACCCTGTTTGCCCATATCACATACCTGTATGATTTGCCATACCCTGTTTGCCCATATCACACACCTGTATGATTTGCCATACCCTGTTTGCCCATATCACATACCTGTATGATTTGCCATACCCTGTTTGCCCATATCACACACCTGTATGATTTGCCATACCCTGTTTGCCCATATCACACACCTGTATGATTTGCCATACCCTGTTTGCCCATACCACACCTGTATGATTTGCCATACCCTGTTTGCCCATATCACACACCTGTATGATTTGCCATACCCTGTTTGCCTATATCACACACCTGTATGATTTGCCATACCCTGTTTGCCCATATCACATACCTGTATGATTTGCCATACCCTGTTTGCCCATATCACATACCTGTATGATTTGCCATACCCTGTTTGCCCATATCACATACCTGTATGATTTGCCATACCCGGTTTGTCCATATCACACACCTGTATGATTTGCCATACCCTGTTTGCCCATATCACATACCTGTATGATTTGCCATACCCGGTTTGCCCATATCACATACCTGTATGATTTGCCATACCCTGTTTGCCCATATCACATACCTGTATGATTTGCCAGATCCTGTTTGCCCATATCACATACCTGTATGATTTGCCATACCCGGTTTGCCCATATCACATACCTGTATGATTTGCCATACCCGGTTTGCCCATATCACATACCTGAATGATTTGCCAGATCCTGTTTGCCCATATCACATACCTGTATGATTTGCCAGATCCTGTTTGCCCATATGCAAACAGACAGGTGTTATACCCTTCAAAGGCACTGGTGAGTAGCGGCCTGGCTAACTTCTCGTAAACAAACTGCTGCCCGGCAAAATGAGAATCACTCTGTTTGAAAGACCAGAAACAGTAGTCGTAGAAAAAGTTGTGGATGGCACCAGTATCAGATGTAACAATTGTTTCATTGTCTTTCATCGACACTGACAGCTTGGTATGGCCTCTGTCAATCTCCCTGAAAAATAAAAATATTATTAATTAATTTCAGGAGACAAATTTGCGAATTCTGAGGGAACTCAATTTCAATGATTTCTGAAAATGCCTGAACTGACAAACATCAAACACCAGCATGATCTCCATAAATTTCGAGCCAGGTTATTTTGTTATACTGTCATACATGTAGGTGTCACAATGGAGGAATTTAAAATATAATTTAAACAAGTGTACATGCAGAGTAAAATCCAAATCCAAAATGTGTAGTATAACGGTTTCTACTTCATTTTTTTGGGGTATCTTTTGTGACGTTACTACCAGTACTACAATAATTATTAAATTTATAGCTATAGTGAATTTTTTTCATTCCCGCTGACATATCAGATTAGTATCACTTGACATCTCATATACTGTATTTGCTCTATTAGTCTAGAAGTGCATCTCCAACAGAAGTGAAACCAGATTAATTTCTTGTCAACTTCTCAGATCTACAAGTCCCTCAATCAATTTCCAAAGAGTCCTGCCCTAAGGCATTAGGGTTATTGTACACTGTGTGTGAAAGGTAATTACAATGTTAACAGTCAAACTTGAACGATGACAATGTACATGGAATTGCTTTTACTAATTCCTCTCATTGTGCCAGGTTTTCATATTCAAGGTTACTAGTACCCCCTGACACATAACAATAGCTCATTTGTATTACACACACACGACCCTGTAAAACTCAGTTACAAAAAGATTATGTTATGTTTGGGATTTAGGCCATATGGTGTTTCCCTTGTTTTAAGCCAGTCCATGTGGCTATTGGTATACATGTATGCTGTCTACATGTAGTTATGGATGGAAATAGAATCTTACACCAGGCATTGCTCGTGTGCATCTTCAACAAACTTGAAGCGAGAGGGTCGACACCTGCGCATGCACAGGAACCGAGTTCCAAGTGATGATAGCAGCACACGCTAGTGTGTTCTATGCTAAATTTTACACATTCACTGGGTTATAATTTAGCACATTTCCCAGTCAGCGAAATAAGCGAAATTAAAACCCAGTGAATAATTAATCCTTTTACAGTAACTTTTTTTTTTTAACAATATACAGTAAGGTCCAAGCATAACTCGTATAAGCTGTTTTAAAGCTATCTTAGTTTGCTTCCAAAACTGACACATATGTGAAATATGCAGCGTAACCTGCCTAAATATCATACGTCTCATATTGGTAACATTGGTAAATATTGAAATTATTGATCAAAATGTTTTCATAAAAATGCAAAGCCTGCTGATCACCAGCTTGGAAGTTAAGTTATGCTAGGACTGTACTGCAGTCTAGTATGAGGCAGGGATTTGTTTAAACAAGGGAACAGGGACGCAGTGCCCTCACTGCCATGGTCATGCGCCCCCTTACCCTGGGGAGCAGATCCTCTGGCAACCATGAAAATTCTGATTGACCAGGGATTCACATGTTACCACAATCTTCAACTGTGACCTGTCTGATAGTAATTTTGGCCTCAAGGAAGCCATAGAATGCTCCATTTTAACTTAGAATTATCAAAAACTGGTAGGGAGAACCCAATCTCCCCCACTTGGTGGCACCACTAAATTGCAGTGCTCCCTCCTGCAGTTTTTTTCTAGAAAAAACCCTGTGAGGTATGGTGCATGATGTGTAATAAAAACCACAGTGGGAATTACATTCACTATTGTGACTGTGTCCCTAAAGTTACACAATAGACGAGTCAAGCACAATAACCACAGTTAGTTAAATTCCTTTGAGCTGATCACGAAATGGATTTTATTTGTGTCATTTGAAAAGACTCTGCAGTTGAAGTCAATCTCATCATTATCTGAATTCCCTCAATCCATAAAACTTTAATTAAATCACGCATCTGTCAACAAAGTATTCCCTAATATACAAAAGAATGTTTGGGCTTGCTACAATAATACCTAATTTGTATAGAACCTGATTCAGACTCAATCAATACTCTGCTTTGAACCAACTTTCAAAATGAGCTTGTTTCCAGTCTTGCCAGAAACTTCCTACACTGGGACTTTGTTAAACTCTTCATCAACCGCCAATGGCAAAATAGTTTTAGATTAGGCTACAATAAAGCAATCATGGCTACAACTATTTCACCCCTTAGTGGACACCCAGAGATGATAAATACATGTACTGTAAACTTTTTCACTGGTATTTAATTTCTTTATTTCACCATACCATATTTCGAGCATACATGTATTCACTGGATTTTAGATTCACAGATACAGTTTTGTGTATTTCAGATAAACATGATGTTCTACCGGCATTGTAATTTTTGCATGTTTACATGGTGTAATTTCACTTGAAAAAAATATCAAATTAAAACACAGCGAATAATTAATACATTTACAGGACTATGCACTGATTTGGAGTTTCGTTAGTACATGTACTAATTATAAAGTTTAGTTTCAGCTAACAGTTGTAATGCACTTATGCAATAGAACATTTGCAGGTTTTAGGGCCATTGTGATATCCAGTGTAATTATATCAGCATGGTAAAAGACTTCACAACGAGCACAGTCATGAATGTTGTGTTTTCATTTCAGAATATGCCTTGAATCAGGTGTATTTGAATACAAAAAGCATGATATTAAAAGGAATATTTTGAAAAAATCCATCTGCTATGTAGTGCTGCGGTAGCTGCACATGTAGAACAGTTTTACTGATTTCAGTGAAACTAGCTGTAAACGAGACAGCAGACTGCATATCGTACAATGCATAAACAAAAATACCATGTGATACTGAAACCTGCATGTCTACGGTACATGTAAAAGCTGCAATTGCAAGATTTTTGTTGACTATACGGTCAATGATTGCTAATAAATCGGTCACAGTGTCATTGGCTATCACTGCTACCATGGCAACCAGATAGTAGTCTCAGGAACCCGTGGGACGACCAAGTGCATACATGTGTGTCAAAGCGTAATCTAAACTTTGTAAATCTTTTTTGGTCAATGGGGAAAACTTTGCAATTCACTGTCATTGCAATGGTATGGCGGTTATTCATGAATTGTTAGAAAACTACCATACTAGTATATGAATCATGCAGATTTCTTTCAGCCTCCTCTCAAGCATTGCAAATACATTTACATTCTGGAGCATTGCAAGCGATTCATGTACGCTGATAATTTGAAATACAAATTCATCCAACAGGTTGTTGGTTAGCATTTAGAACAGTGACGTAGAAAGTAAATTAGTTTTGTTTGAATCAAACTACTGGTAGCCCACATTATTATACTGATTTTCATGTGTGAAATTAGGAAAAGAGTTCTTTTTGTACCCTATCCCTACCTTCCGGCGCTACCCAATGTATATATCCCTATTAAGAACACCTAAAGTTATCTAGAAAAGGCATATACAATTAAATTGGGGGATTGGGTTGAGGATTAGAGTTAGGATTAGGGTAGGGTAACACAAAAAGAACTCCTTTCACAATCAGTACAGTTATTTATACCACATTTGTTTTTCTTGCTTTTTGCAATTTTTTTATAAAATAATTAATAACAGGTGTTCTCTTAACAGGCAAAAAAGAAATGTTAGATTCTGATAAACCTACCTTGTCTAAAATTAAATGTCTATCCTAAATCTCTTTTGACCAAAGCTAAAACAATTGTGCACACTTCCCAAGATGTCAATAAGACTTTAATGAAACTGACTATTATTTAGAATTTAAAAAAAATTAATAAACATAAATTTGTGTTACCAAATCAGCAAGCTAGCACAAAGAAAAATAAATTAATATTTAACCTGCGCAATCTATTTTTAAAGAAAATATTATCAGAACCAAAGTTGGTAGCCTTAAGCTTAGTTTTCTTGAATATTGTGAATTCAATTTAGCCAAAGTCTTTTGAGAGTGAGTCTTCTGGTAAAAATCTTGCAACTTATCAAATGAGAATGAAATTTTGCAAAAATGACATCTGAGCTTTATTTTTAAGATCCATGATGTAACTTTATGGTTGCTGATTTTAATACACCTTTAGCAAAAATAATATTCCAGAGTAAAAATAAAGCTAACTACAGTAACGGTTTAATACCAACTGGCTGCTTACAAACAAAAAATATAGTCTGTACAAATTAAACAAAGTGTAATTTAAAGCAGGAGGCTCATCACCTGTACACATGCAGGAATCAAGTCCCAAGCGTTGATAACAACACACACTGAAATGCAAAGGCTCATGGGTAGACGCTTGTTTGTATACAATGACACGCTATGGCCATCTGACATATGCGCAGGTGACGACACCATGGCAAAATATATTTTAAAGCCTTTGACGTATTGAGTAATAGAAGTACTATAATAATACAATACAGATTATGTAATACATGTATATGTATAACAATAGGCCAAAGCAGACATTAAATGTACACATGTGTTGTTAATTGCAGAGGATGACATATTCAGTGATCATGTGTACTGGTGTGTAAATATAATTATGTATTTTGGAAAATTTATATACTGATATTATTGAATTTAATATTAATCAAGGTCACAAGTAAAATACAATATATTAGAATGACTGCTGCATCCAAATTGTGACGCTTTAAATTTTATTTAACAAAAAATCAACAAAATTATAATTCTGTATTTGTTTAAATTAGTATACATTTAGTATACCCGCAAATACATGCAAGTCACAGAGGTATTTGTATGATCAAAATAAGTCATATTTTTATGATTTAGTACACAGTAAAAGTGATTTTTAGTTAATTTAGGCTTCTATTGGAGATGTGCCTATGATAAGAATAATATGGTACCAGTATTGACTTAGGCTATAGCATACAAGTAGACTGAATGATCCCACTAAGAAGCTAAAGCAAAAAAATAATACAACACCCACAAACATGAATATGAAAACATGAAGAGCCGTATTAACTAAGACTACCTGGCCCACCCTTTTAACTGTTTAATTCTAATTGTATAGCGAGGTCAAAACATGTTTTCTGTTTCTAACGTCTGGGGTCAAAGCGATTCAGATTTATAAACAACATAATATTTATTTTTACATATTAGGGTAAATGATGTTGTTAGCATCATCTTAAAATTAATTAATGAACACAATATTAATATGTTGACTACCCCGACGCAGTATTAATATGTCTACTACATGCACATACTGCATTAAATACTGCATTAAATACTTTATTTTCGCTTGGAATTAATTTTCGCTATTTTCCTCACAAGAATGATTCAGTTAAAATAAAATCCAGCTAACTATAACTAGCCATAAATTCCATACAAAACATTCAAACAGTATTCAGCGAAAATTAATTCCAGCTAAATTATAATATATACAGTATATCAAGCTAGTGGCTTAGTGTCTGAGCCATCAGAGGACAGAAAAACCCAACAGTTAAATATTTATCTAATTTGTTTTCATTTTATTTTTCATATTTCTGATTACATTAATTAAATTAATTTTAAAAAGCAGTGAACAATTATATTATTATTATTATAGTATTGAACTTGAACTTTCGGTCCTTAATTATTGTTTACTGATATCTCTATTGGGTAAACTACAGTATACAGCAAATAAGTATACTCACCGTTGATTAAATGGCCTGACTCTCACTGCAACCGTTACACTGGCACTTTTCTCGGGTTTAAACGTATCTAAAGTGCCAACACTATTACGATGTCTTAACGGCGTGTTTTTCGGCGAGTCGAGAATCACTTTATTGTAGCATTCAGGCGTTAGTGGCGTTCCTAATTTACTATCGCTGTGTTTCAGTCCTATTATTTTCAAGTAATCCTTAGGAGTGGACAAACCAGGTTTTGTTCCGTTTGTAACACTAACAGTTACCGGTGTGACATTTTCAACGGGAAAACCTAGTCGGTTCGGTTCCGGTGTTAACGATAAGCTTGGAGTAGTTGTTCCAGCCAGCGAGTCAGGGAGTTTGTTTTCCTTTGCATTATTTGGCTTGTTGGCATCGTTCATCGGTAACCGCGGCAAAGACCGCCTGAATGTCGGTAATTTACTTGCCTTCATCGTCTTACTCTCATAATCGGACAGTCGAAGATCTGAGAAAAAAAACTTGAAAAAGAGGAGGATATGTGTAGTCAAGTGGTGTGCGTTGGTTTTGAGGTTAATTAAACTTGATCGACCGACAACATGACCACAAGCTGTGCTTTTTGTGTGAATGAACAACAAGAAATACAGATGTAGGAATATATAATTAAAAAAAAACGTCTGTTTCGGCCAATTGTAATTCGAGAATCACAAATCGAGATTAAATAATGGGAAAAATACTCACTGTTATATTGTACTCCCAAAATGTGAAAATAAACGGCGGGTATATTCACTCAAATTTTCGAACCTTGCAGATGTGTTCACTGATTGGTCCGTTATAGTCATGTGTAGCCCACCTGACCCACGCCTAAATCACAGGTCAATGATTATGCAGGTTGTTAACGTCTGGGGGCGTTTTCACCACAGTCCCGAGAAGCAGCTGCGAAAACGAAAGGAAGTGTTTCGCTGATTTTATTTCTCTGTATGAGCGAGGGGAGAAACGTTTTTCGCACTGCTTGTACATATCCGATAGACATTGCACGACCGAAATGGTGAAATATTTTCTCATACTTGTTGCGGTAATAGCAGGTGAGTCCTGCGATGAGCAAAGGAGAACTCGGGTTGAAAAGTCTGGCCGAGTTGGTAGGTACACCGTAACTGTACCCTGGATTTTTGTTGATCACAATGCTATATTTAATCTTCAACGGAAAGTATAAAATTATTATAGTTTTCAGAATTTTCGGTATAGAATTCAATTTTCCCCAAATTGTAAAAAAAGTGATTTAAAACATGGAGTCTGATTGTTTTCACTTGTATAATTAAATGTGGTATATACTTTTTTAACGCGCCTAAAGGTGTAGACATCATAGACGTCACGTGGGGTCACATGACATGCATATCATTAAAGTACTGTAAAAGCATTTACTTTCACCGGTATTTAATTTCACACTTTCAATATCAAACCATATTCACTTGAAAATAATGAGTTATATTGTAGTTTTACATGTTCGTGTAGATTTTATAACTTAACCCAGTGAATAATTAATGTATTTTCAGTAGTACATTAAATAAACAATTTATCATTTAAAACTAAAAAATAGTTCAGATTTTCAATAGCCAGTTGCAAAGAAACTTAACAAAGTTTCGGGAAATTTCTGTTAGAAACATGCATCCATCCAGCCGTGTTCATGTCTGTCTTGTCCATTCAGTCATGTCCATCTCATATTGTCTATCCACATGTGTTCGTCTAGTATTGCCCAGATCATTCAGCCGTGTCCATCTTGTATTGTCCATCCAGTCATGTGTGTCTGTCATTTATAAAACTCATGGTGCACCAAAGAAAATAAATGTCACCTCTTTCCATTTTTATATAATATAATTGCTAATTGCAGACAAATTTTCTAGGATGATATTCAGACATTTTATAATTATACAATTCAATTAATGTCATAAATAAATAAATAAATAAATAAATAAATAAATAAATAAATAAATAAATAAATAAATAAATAAATAAAATTATTAAAAGTTACATTACAGAAACATAATATAATGCAGATATGCCAGGTAAGTAGAATCAAAACAACATAAAAAAAAATAACAAAACTACAACTAGCAATTTTGTGTTTTCACCGCCTGACAACCATCACTGGTGAAAACAAAAACTCTCAGAAATTAGTATTTTGAGCAAATTGTCCTGAATAATGTAACAACCAAATATATATATATATATATATTGTACATGTGAGGTACTATATGTACATGTGCAACATATTTTGGTTGCTCAGGATTATCTCAAAGTTGAGTTTTTTCTGTTTTCCTCTTTCTGCTTCTTGACCGGCATTCCACAGCAGTTTGCACATAGCCCATAGAAATTCCTGGTAGAGTGATGCGTGTGAAAGCAATATAAAACCTCCTGTGATGTAGCTCCGCCCCTAAGAACTATATATTTACAGACATAATATATGTCGTACATTATACACATTATGTCACTTTTTATTTTTTGTTTTTTATTTTTATGACAATTTTTTTATTCCAATATGCTATGATCCTACTAAAATTTTGCAAAATAATATACTAGTGGAAAACTCAAAGAACTTGTTTTGGAACAATTACGATATTACAATGAAACTAGAATTTTAATTACTATTTGAATAACATACAAATGTATCATCTGTTTTTTTTCAACAGGTCCAATAGTGTGGTCATACACTTTAGATCAGCTTCACTAAGTACCAAAACTATTTACCAAAATCAGAAATTTAAATGGGAAATTGGGAAAAAATGAAGTTTTAGGAACTTCACGAACAATATAGGACTTGCTGGTAGTATATTAATCCACAATTCAGACAATTCTGATCAGGATATTTACCTGCCTAGATAACGATAATAGATAAAGAGTTAAATGGTAGTTTTCAAACCATTATGGTGATTAGAATGAGGAGGGTAGATTTTTAACCATTATGGTGATTAGAATGAGGAGGGTAGTTTTCTAACTATTATGGTGATTAGAATGAGAAGGGTAGTTTTCTAACCATTATGGTGATTAGAATGAGGAGGGTAGTTTTCTAACCATTATGGTGATTTGAATGAGGAGGGTAGTTTTCTAACTATGATGGTGATTAGAATGATGGAGGGTAGATTTTTAACCATTATGAGGATTTGAATGAGGAGGGTAGGTTTCAAACCATTATGGTGATTAGAATGAGGAGGGTAGTTTTCTAACCATTATGGTGATTAGAATGAGGAGGGTAAATTTCTAACCATTATGGTGATTAGAATGAGGAGGGTAGTTTTCTAACCATTATGGTGATTAGAATGAGGAGGGTAGATTTTTAACCATTATGGTGATTAGAATGAAGAGGGTGGTTTTCTAACCATTATGGTGATTTGAATGAGGAGGTGTAGTTTTCTGACCATTATGGTGATTTGAATGAGGAGGGTAGGTTTCTAACCATTATGGTGATTAGAATGAGGAAGGTAGTTTTCTAACCATTATGGTGATTGGAATGAGGGTAGTTTTCTAACCATTATGGTGATTAGAATGAGGAGGGTAGATTTTTAACCATTGTGGGGATTTGAATGAGGGTAGTTTTCTAACCATTATGGTGATTTGAATGAGGAGGGTAGGTTTCTAACCATCATGGTGATTAGATTGAGGAGGGTAGTTCTCTAACCATTATGGTGATTAGAATGAGGAGGGTAGTTTTCTAACTATTATGGTGATTAGAATGATGAGGGTAGATTTTTAACCATTATGGTGATTAGAATGAGGAGGGTAGTTTTCTAACCATTATGGTGATTTGAATGAGGAGGGTAGATTTCTAACCATTATGGTGATTAGAATGAGGAAGGTAGTTTTCTAACCATTATGGTGATTGGAATGAGGGTAGTTTTCTAACCATTATGGTGATTAGAATGAGGAGGGTAGATTTTTAACCATTATGGTGATTTGAATGAGGAGGGTAGATTTCTAACCATTATAGTGATTTGAATGAGGAGGGTAGTTTTCTAACTATTATGGTGATTAGAATGAGGAGGGTAGATTTCTAACCATTGTGGGGATTTGAATGAGAGTAGTTTTCTAACCATTATGGTGATTTGAATGAGGA